GGTTTTGTTTTCAATTAACAAATATTATTTCTTATTTTACCTTTTCGAGTTTCCCATCGTCTGCCTGCATTTGGGTCAAAAAAGACCTTAGCAACGCTCATAAAAGTCCACAGTCATACTATTTGGCACTAGAGACAGAAAGTCACTTTACGTATAAAATTAAAGGATCGCACATCATTTGATTTTGGACATATTGGAAGCACCTGGCCTTTTCTCCATAACCTCCATTCATTATATTAGTTTGTATTCATCCACTTATTGCACCTGCTTAAGTGATAGGTCACATAAATCGTTTGTATACACACACACACAGACACACATACACACAATAATTGTTATATGCAGCTTCCAGACTCCTTGCTGATAGCTGCCATTTCTTATCATTTCGGCTGCAAACGGCTCCCTTATGGAGGCACTTTTACTTGCTGTCTAAACGGAGGAGACTGAGGAAGAAGTGATGCATCTGAGCTGCGTGCAAAGCTCCTCTGAAAACTGAAATGTTATCCAGTTCGAAAAACATAAAGGCCCTACAAATTTTTATATATTTCCTGTGGACATTATTGGATCCTTTGTGTGAAAACAATACCGTTTCTGATGTTTAAAAAAAAAAAAAAAATCAAATTCACCAGAGATAATATTGACTAATAGTATACACTTTTCCTCCCCCCACTCATTTTTTCTAGAAAAAACAAACAAACAAAAAAAAAAACATAATGGATCCTGTAACTGTGCCATCTGTGGTTTGGAGACTTTTTAAATAAATTAGCTATTGGAGCTTGTTTATCTTTCCTCCTGCTGAGCTCCACCATTTGCGAGGAAAATGGCGCTGTAGTTAATGAACAAAACGCGCACTGGTGACTGTGAAAGTGTGTAATGGGTGACACGATGGCGGGGGAGAGCCCGTCGGCAGACAGAGCAACGTTGCGGGGCCGTTTGATAGACAACAGCGCGGCGGGGGAGAAAGTCGAGAGGAAGTGGGATTCGACACTCGAGAGCCAAGAGACACTTTTCGCTCTCCTTCTTCCCAACTGCTCCCAGTGCAAAAGACATGGGCCGCTGCACAGACAGATGGCGAAGGGTGTGTGTTGGATGGTGACGCCATTTGGCTTTGTAAAAGTGCAAGGGATGAGAGGTGTATATATATATATATATATA